CGTAGTGGTTTCGAACCAGAAGACCGCGGGTTCGAGTCCCGCCTCGGGCATGGGTGTATTTGTGTATGTCTGTATGAGTGTGACGTCCTTTCACCCCTCATGATCATCATTTCTTATTCCATACCCCCAGGGTCAACAACTCTGAATAAACATCGGACTCGGCTTAATGCTGGTCTCCAATTAAAGTTATATGCACCTGCCACCGCTATAATGATACTGAGCCACGGTAAATGTCTAATGCATGCATGCATGTGGTCCTAGTCGGCGGATTCGTGAGCAAATAATAATAATAATAATAATAATAATAATAATAATAATAATAATAATAATAAATGTAATAATAATATAATAATAAATGTAATAATAATATAATAATAAATGTAATAATAATTATTATTATAATAAATAGCGAAGTGTCTCAGTGCGTAGTGTGCGGACTTCGCAGTCTTTCCTTCAACCACTGTTTCGTCTGCCCTAATTCCCTTGTATTCATTTTTCTAACTGAAATAGAATTATTTTGCTGGTATTCAGAAAATTTCCTATTATGTTTTTAATATTATTTCCTTCGTTTGGCTTGCAATACAGAGCCTGCCGATTATCTGTCACACACTCGCACTTCACTTCTGTGAAGAGCTTTCGTCTTTTTAAGCACGTATTCTCTGGATTTGTTTCCCTTGCGACATCTGCGGCTGCAACCGAGTGGTCACAAAGAACAACTACATACGTCATCCATTCAGCTATTTAGCAGTCGGGACAATACTTCCCCCTCCAGTCCTAGGAAGCTGACGCATCTCCTTGATAGACGTAATGTTTACTATTGTCGTGGTTAACCGCACGCGATATGATGTTCTTCTATTCCTCCATACAAAATCTCCAAATGCTTCCAAGGAAAGTAAGTCAAGAATCTACCTACATTTTAATCAGTTATGGCTTGTTAAATCAATGTAAACTATCTCTTCATTGCTAAAATATATTTGCGGAAAGTGGAATAGCTCAAGAAAAATGTATATGAACGTTTTTGCCCAGAAAACGAAGTTGTTTTCAATTTGATTACATACGTTTAAGCACACGATGATTTCATGGTCCAGCTAAGCAGATCTAGTTTCATTCGTTCTGAAGCATAAAACATTTTCATTTCTCGTATAAAACACATTATTATTACCAAAAAAATATTTGCAAAGGGCCAAATCAGTCGTGTTCGAAAATTATGTTAGGTAAAAGTCGCATTTAACTAATAAAGAGTGTGGTGAATTCAATTCAAAAATAAGTTAGTTACTCGAGATTAGTTTATAAAATATGAAAACAATTTTTAGAAATAAAGTGTCGCGATTGAACTAATTAATTTGTTTTGTATGTGTAACCTACTCAAGAGAAAAAAAAACTCTTGTGTGCCACAAATTCCGCAAACTGATACCAGGACACCGTCAACAAGATATGAAGCACTAATTGGTGCGAAGAAATTGTGAAAGTTATCAAAAGTATTTTTTCAACAGTCTGACCCCGGATAAAGTGAAACTAATGAAGATCTCGTTAGGCATATATAGTACAACGAATGTGAAACTAAGAGAGATAACACTCTTTTGTCCTCAACAGGCCAATGCGATTTACAATCTTTTCATTTAAAAAATATAAAATATTTACGAAGAAATGACATCAGTGTTTAAGAATTGTGTCAATGAGATCTTAGTTTAGAAGTGTAATCGGGGCCATGAGTCAGAGATCTGGACTGATTTTTGTTGCTGTCAGGACTGAAGAAATAAAAAGGAATTACTAAGGTTCGTGTCTGAGAAATGGCGATAGTAATAATTTTATTGTTTTTATTTTATTTTAGAAAGAATAATTTTAGAAATGTAAAAAAATAAGCTTATATTGAAACAGTTAAGAAGAACTGCTTACTTGGAATAAGGATATCTCTGCAGATGATCAAGACCACTTGTTTGTTTCTGTCACATGAGACGTTCGTTGAACTACAATTATCACTGCGTTCCTGGACAAGGCGTCATCTTACCTTCGGTGTAGCTGTGACGTCATCGAGTGGCGTCATACTTCTCATATGACTTACAGAGCCACTTACTTCATAATAACAGTAACGTCTTTAACAATATTATTTGCAAAGAGACAATAATTTTTCTTTCGCCATTGTTGACAAGACTCCCGTTACTGACAGGAAACATGTCAAGGAACAGTACCCCCTTTATCTTCATTCACGAAGTTATTTCATTTTTGTTTTTGTATTAAATTTATCACACAATTTTTCTTGCAAATCATTTGTTTTCTAGTGCTACGATTACTTCTTCGGGTTTTCTACTTTCCAATTAATTATTAACTGAGGAATGAATCCTGAAATCGAGAGATGAACTATAATTTATTTTCTATGACTTAGAAAATTTTCTCAATTTTAGCAAGCTTTGAATGTATAATTCTCTCGTACATCTATTTGAATGTATCCTCTGAAGGTACGGTCAATGTAATACTCCATTCTTTCACTTGGAACACGCCGCAAAATAGTTATTTTCATTCTCATTTTTCAGCATTCTTTTATATCTTGCGTGTGACTGGGAGCATAGTATTGGCAACATATTTTCCTCAACAAGTGCGGGTTATTTGATGCATTAACAAAACCAAAAACTGAACGCACATTTCTTCTTTAGATTTGGACAAAAATAAGGAGTTGAAAAGATGAACCTAACAAAGTAATGAGTTTTCAAAACAAGGTTGACAGTGTGGTGCACAAAACAAGAAACGACAAAAAACTATTGTAGAGATAATGTCTATAAAAAATATCAATTTTCACGTTAGTCGATGAATGCAAAAGATTATTCATGATATAATGATCTTCAGAATAATTAAGCAATTCTGAAGCAAAAACGACTAAGCAATGTCCAACTCTGATATAGGATCACTATTACTCATAGCATGAAGTGGAAAAAGCAACTAAATGCCACATCTCTCTTTTGTAAGAGCAGTATTAATTCGATGATTTTTGTCTACCTCTCAATAATATTAGTGCTATGTTCATTTGTTACTATAGGAAGAGAGGAGGATCCACCTGCAGGACCTTTACATCCATTCCTTTCCTGAGCCGGAGGTTACAGCGTTAGTTTATCTTTTTCTTTCTCTGAGTGAAGGATAATAGAACCTTTTTAAGGATTGAATGGTAATACCTTGAATGAAATAAACGAAATAATTCTGATATGAGTGGAACATGGTGCGAGAAAGCCATGTCTCAAACACACGATGAATAGTAGCATGCATTACGTGATGACGTTGCCAAACGGCGGAGTTTCATCGCGAGTGAACGTGAATTACGGGTCGATGAAAATAAAAGTTTTCGATGGAAAAAGCGGGGTCGCGGTAGATTTTCTTGCCAGTCTCCGTTTTCCATTTCGCGGTTTCTCTTTCCACCACTACTCCATGATCATTCATCAATTTATCTTATTCATCTCAGTGTAGCCCAACAGACGTTGTTTTAGGAAACATAAGATCAATTTTTAGATATAATATTAATTTGGCTGATTGTAGTGATTTCGATGTACTTTTGCCCCCAGGTAAGATTCAGACAGAAATGTATTTCATGAAATTCGAACTCATAATCTTTGGCTTCGTGTTCTCGAACGCTAACCAACGTCCCTAAGCCACTGAGGACAATTTACTACTTTATAGCAAGACTATATGAATTCCTTGAAAGGAAAATGTCTCTTTGTATTCCATGTGAACAATGATAAGGTTATTAATGGGATGATGATGAAAATGGAAAGAATGAAAGTGGTACGAGCAGCCAATTACATCACACTTAAGTAGTGAAAACAAAGTAGCTTACGCGAGCTCAACTGTAAAAGTCCGGTTGTGATGACTCAGCTGCGAGGCCATGTCCTCTGTAGCCTCGTTAACTGGGAGGTCCTAGGGTTCAAGTCCTGACAGTGGCGAATTTTCGACATTAGCTACAAAGCGGAGATGAATTCAGAGTGTCTGGAGGAGAATTCTAAAGACCGGCTGCTCCATGGTTCCTCCGATCAATACTAGGTGAATGGCAAAGCAGTACCACCATCACTAACTGGCCACGGACAACGCGCGATCATCCCTTCCTTCTTCTGGTCTCCTGTATCCCATTCACATATTTCGGGCCCGAATTTCGTTACTGTATTGACCACCACACCTTAGAGCTTGTCCTGGCTGAGGCCGTTCCCCGTTTTCGGGAATATCTGGAGAAGGAAATCCCCGACAGGACGATTAGGTCGGTGTCGTACCTTCCGTTCCGGAGTGGGGTGGACATCATTACTTAACGGGATTTATCAAGCTCTGCCTTTATGGGAATAGAGATATCAGTAGTTCAAGTGCTCGGTGTCAGCACTCCCTCCCTCAATCCATCCTCTGACTTTGGGACGCTGCCACAGGGTGTGCACGACCCTCACCGGCAGGTTCTGGGGTTGGGGTTCCGGATTGTAGCAGGAATTTTGACAATAGCTACAGAACTATTAGGTCGAATTTAACTACACAGTCTGGAAGAATTCTAGCAGCTGACTGCTCTGATCGATAGTTTTCCGTGATTTCCCCGATCACCAGGTGAATGCCGGAGCAATACACTAACAAACGGGACATGGAGTGCACGCAGTTTTTCCTTCCACGTCCTTGTTATATCTCCTCTTACACACAGACATACACACACACACACACTTACATGTCGAGGACTTAAAGCAAGTCGCTGCTGGGACGGTGCCCACCTGGTAGAAAATACCTGTGTCGAGAAAAAAAACACCTGCAAGCCGACAGACAGGTCGGCGCCGATTCTCGTCATCCAGGGCTGGAAGATCAGTGCCGCGAAAAGACCTGCATTCCCCTGACGGGATTAATGACCATAGCAGCTGACGCACCCGTAGTCAGTAATCGATCAGTGAATCCACGCTGCCCGCGCCCTCGAAAGCACCCGCGCGCAGCCCGGAGCAGCGATCTGCGCGCGGCGCGCGGTGCAGGGCGACGCTGAATCAGGCGCCTTCGTTTAGCAGCTGCAGGTGCTAATGCGCCGGACCACTATAAGAGCGGCGCCAGCCGCCGCTGAGGCACACTCGCCACCGCAGCTGCAGCCGCACAAGCAGATTCCCGGTGCCGCGCCTTCGCCGCCCCGGCCACGCCGCCCGCTTGCCTGCGACCGTGCCCTTCCGTTGCCGTCCGTCGACCCAGCGCCAGACCAGCCATGGTGAGTAGGGCAGGCCCAGCCACGATCGACAGAGAAAGAGCAGAAATTTTTTTCTTTCTAATTTGTGGTTTATTAATTTTTAATCATATGGGAAGTACTACCTCTTTGGTGTTTTATAGCGTTGATACTTCGAAAAATTCGGATACGGGAGTGCACTAAGAATGTAAAATGCTCGTGTAGTATTGACGATAGTTTCTATTTATACGAGTTACCAGGAGTTGTATTGGAGAGAAAGGGGACTAAACGTTGCAATAACCGATTCCATAAACATACTTCACGAGGACTTTTATAAGAAATATCTATTTTATTTGCGTGATTTACTACAAATTCAATTTTTAAAATGTTTTTGTTTCTTTATCAAATTTATTGAGCTAAATGAACTTAAAATATTATTACCAGATTTACATTTGCTAAGGAAAGCAAATCACGACGGAAAAACATTTATGGCGCATTTCTGGAATATTACGTATTCATCGACGAGCAGGATTTACATAATGCGTCACAATTCTCTCATTGAGAGGTTTCGCTTCCTCTATTCAGTACGCGTTCTTGAATGCATTTCCTCCCGTGGGGTGCATTTCCTGAATCGTAGTGTTATGCTTACGGAGTAGATTCGAGAAACATCTGCTGACGACCATTAACACGCCCCGCACGATAAGAACAATGCGTCTTCAGTCAGCCTGTTTATCTCGCCGTTGAATTGCGTCAGCAGCCTGCCGCGCCTCTAGATCTCATCTCGCTAAGTCGCCGTTTTTTTCCTCTTTTTTTCGCTTTTTTTCGCTTTTTTTCGCAGTGCGTTTCACAATCGTTTCTCGGGGCGGTATTCTCCATGAAATTGTGTTGCTTTTACACGTTTTCCTATTCCTTAGGGAATTACACCCAATTACTAGGGGCTCCGCTAAACTACCCTGCCTTTTGAAGGCATCCAAATTGAATTCTCTTGTGCATAAATAATGTGCATCATATGCATAAATAATAGCTTACGGCACGAAAATAAAATGAGTTCTCGGAGATTCCGTTCCTGTTTCCTTCAAGCTACATTTTACGAAAGCAAGGTCACAGAAGTAAAATTTTCCGTAGAGAGAGAATTTTTGTTGCAAGCAAACTTAATGTTTGGTAATATTTCTTCTTGTATGCCATTTAGGAACAATGAGGGGTATGATTTCAGTAGTAAGAATATCTTTGGGTTACCGCAGCGGATTCTGAGGAAGAAACAATGAGGCAGGTGATTAGTGTTGTACCCCACCGATGCGTAATCGCTTGAGAAATCCTCGTTTGTAATTCGAAAAATCTAGGACAAAAGTTATTTTAGCAAATATACCGATAATAATATAATAACTAATAACCGGCTAACCGGCTAAATAATATACCGATAATAATAATGATAATAATATAAGAATAGACAATTTAATAATGAAAACCTTTTGTTTCTTTGATGTAAAATTCTTAAAATAATTTAAATGTTTAAAATGACAGACAAAATAATTATATTCAAATTTTTTATTATCTTATATGCTTTACTCTATCTTTGAATAAATAAAGATAAAGGATCAACGCAATAAAACTACTGGATTTTAGACACTCTTCCAATTTTCATGTGTCCAAAACAGAGTTCCCAGGGACTAATGTAGCTTTCCTTGCTCCACAGATCGCCCTGCCAATGACTCTTCTCGCCCTCGTGGCGTTGGCGGCCGCCGCGCCAGCCGCCCGGCCCTCCGACGCCGACGCCATCGACGCCATCGACGCCGCCACCACCGTCACTGACGTCGCCGCCGCCGCCCCAACCGCCGCCCCCGCCACAGGTGGCTCCTCGCCCCTGGCGCTCACGTTGGAGGCGGAGTCGGCCGAGCCCTCCACCGCCGCTGCCTCGCCCGCGGACCCCGCCCCCGCCTCGGGCGGCGCGTCGCCCCTGAAGCTCACCTTCGAAGCGGAGTTGGAGTCTGAGGAGGAGGATGCGGCGCCGGAGGGCGAGCTGGGCGCGGGGGAGGAGATGGAGGGAGCGGAGAACATCGTGTTCAAGCCGCTGTTCCGCTACCGCGAGCGCGGAGGCTTCCGGCGCCGCGTGCGCGCCTCCAACCGACGCCGCGACGCCAACTACCGACGCACGTACGCGGCGCGCTTCCCGCACCACCGCTACCGCTCCTCGCCCAAGCGCCGCAACGCCCTGCACACGCGGCATCAGGTCCTCTTCTGAAGGCGGCCCCGCGCCACGCGCCCCGCGCACGCCTCACGCTCATCCGACGCACGTCTCGTTCTCGTCCTTCGACCTTGATGGTCATCCAACACGCATCTGACGTTCGTCCGATGTCCATCCAATGCACGTCTCATGCTCATTTAAATCTCATCGGATGCTCGGCTGATGTTCATCGAACGAACGTCTGATGCTTGTTTAATTCACATCGGACGCTCGGTCGATGTTCTGATGCTCATCCAATGCACCCGTGATGATCTCTCAATTCTCATCGGATGCTCTCCTGATGCTCAAGTAAAACGCATCTGATGCTCGTCCGATGTTTAATGCTCATCCAATGCACGAGTGATCATTCAATGCAGAGTTTATCTGACACTCCATCGATACATTAGTGTTCGTCCGATCCTGGTTGGATGTTCGTCTGATGCCCGTCAGATGTTATCTGATGTTCATCCCATCATGCTTTCACCCTTCTGCGGGAATTTTTTTATTTCTCTCGTGATCTAATTTATTTGTACAATGATTTATTTTTATTTATGTGTTGTTTGTTAAATAAATTATTTTTTGTAATACATTTTGTTTTAACTTCCTTGATCCTCTGTTTCAAACCTAAAATACATCCCGAAATGAAGAGTATTGAAGATATCTGTAAAATACTGAGAAACAATTTAGAATGGATGTTCCGAGAATGCCAATATGATTATGACGCATATCATAAGATATTATGATACAGCAAAATTATATTTAACATTTGATACATTTTTAATTCCCTCACTAATCGCGTCGCAATCAATGCCTGCAATCTGAGAAATGATCCAAATGTGACTGAAATTTCTTGAATTGGCTTGCTTTCCTAATTTGCTTATAATAGTTTTTGAAAGTGGTACACGCTAAGGAAAAGCAGCCATTGGGGATCTTTTTGATTTAATAAATCATATTACACCATCCCTATTGTGACTTACAACTTTGCTCCTTATTGACAAAATAAACACTCTCTGTTCTCCGGAACTTTCTCTTTGACAAAGTTCAGTACGATAAATGCAAAAGATACTACAGGTCTGCCTTTAAGCTCATGATTCACACAAAAACTTTTGTCATTCTGAAATCACCACGGATCGGTGGTTTTTGCTTGGTTACATGTAGGTCTATTTTAGATTTGAGTTTTTTTGTATGTTGGTACAAGGTGTACTAATGAATAACCTTATGTTGGAAGAACATGTTATTCATTTGCATTTCATACTCGTCAAAAATATTAAGAAATCATTTTTTCATTGTCATTGCGAGTTTCCTAACCATATTGACCAACAATATTGTTGTTCTTGACTCTTCTAACTCTGCCGTTAAAATCTCCTGCGAAAATTATTTCATGGGACTTGGAAATACTTTCAAGGGTTTCTTTGACTGTTATTTCAAAATCATCTTTCTTAGCCAATGGGGCATCATCATTCAAATTATATATTCCTATGAGACTTATATATTTTTCCTCCGATTTTTAATACGACTTTACCGACCAACTTGTTTTATACATTTACCGAATCTTTCACCAATAACAATAGAAATTCCGACTTCAGCATTTTCATTTTTGTTTATGCCTCTGTAAAATGCACAAAATTGTTCTATGTTTCGCTTCCCTTGCCTTTCTTTTTGTTTCAAACCAGTGGGATATTTCTATGTTTCTTTTGATCATTTCCTAGATTACTTCTTTTTGCTTGTTTTATATGCTTTGTACATTCCGTTTACCAATATTCATTCAATATTCAGAGCCCATTTTCTTTGCCGATGTCGTTTCCCGTTTGAAATGTCTGGAATGTCCCGTGGAATTCATATGCCTGTACTTTTGAGCGGTGTAATGTTGTACAACCCTCAAACCAGGAGGACCGGAGTTTTTATTTCAGGAGTTTCCATCCCTTAGGTTGATTACTTCAACCGTAGCTTAAGGAGTCCAGCCTACCCCTGATCCACTATTTAGGGATGATATAATTCTCAAGGTTAGTGAACCCCACCATTCTCTGTTGAATCATGCACAATTCACAATTAAATACTTCTAGGGTGCTTCCCGCGTAAGGTCTACCTACTACACTCTTAAGAAAATAAGGAAGGAAGAAGAGGAAAGACTCTCTAGTCCTGGAAACCTAATAGCGTTGGGGACAAATAAACAAAGAGTTGGACAAGGAAGGCCAACAGAATAGATAAAAGCATTGTGGCACAAGAAAGTTAAAGATGTCACAATGGTAGATGACGATACCATAACGACATGAACACATCGTTATGAGGGAAGGACAAAAACATAGAAAAGAATGTACTGTTAAGATTGGGATGGATAGATTGGGATGGTAGGACACGACTTAGCCTGACCCCTCAGTTTTGGTCTGTCCGGCTTGGCTGACCCTACCAGTAGTCATGCGTAGAAAAAAATGTCATGCTTCCGCCGGCTTAGCCCTCCCCGTCACTGAAGCACACAAGCATCATCGCCCGCATGACAGTACTACTTCAAGGTGGTACCCCAAGGGAGGAATATTGTAATAAATTATTGATTTTGAATCTTTTGGCTTTTGACACTGAGAAAGAGAATGTACTATAAATTGATTCTAAATACAGAACATTTATCATAATTAAAAATCAATAGTGTATTCAGTATACAATTCAACATCGACGGATTCCAAGAGTACAAACTCCGAAAAATTTAATATATTAATAATTGTTTATTTCTGAAGAGCACGATTGATAAATTCCATTAGCATATGCTTAACTTTGAAACTTCCACCATTATCCCCCACGTAAAGCAAAATGTTAAAGTGAAATTAAACGTCAATCAGAAAACATATTGATTACTACAAACGTTAAGTGTATATATGCTTTCTTTTTCGTAAATAAGAAATGAAGCTAAGAAGCAAATTGAAAAAATGCTTCGATGAGAGAGAATACGTTTGCGCAGAATGTTCTCGAGGGGGGGGGGATGAGGACAGGCGAGTCGAAGAGACTGCGTGGCTCAAGTTCTCTGTCAAGGGAAGTGTTAGTTGCGAACTGTGATCTCCTTTACAGTAATGAGTTTAAGGCAACTGCAATTTAGACGGGAAGGCCCGTATAAAATGCAGATGCATTGATGCCATTCACATTTTCAAAGATGTAAAGGTCTATTGCAATACTTGATTAGTTATACGGGTTATTTGGTGCATTTAATGATTTATTCGCTGGTTTTGAGAAAAAAATAGTAAGATTGGTTATGCGCGAGCGTGAATTTGCGATTGTTTGAAATGAAACTAATTTTGTATTTTTGAAGAATTTCCACTATGTAGAAAGTAAATACAGTTTTCACTCTTGTTGATATTTCTGGCGGAAATCTGAAATTGAACAGTTTCGAAGGAATGGAGAAAGAAATAATATTAAAACATGTTTTTGAAGGAGAACCAGTCATGTTTCAGGGATATTTTCATATCATTAGTACCTACTTTTCAAGCGTTCAATAAAATACACTACAATAAAATAAATTCGAGATCAAATAGAAATGTAAAGACACAAATTAAAAATAATGTCTTTACAGATAATCTTTTAAAAACAATTGATACCATGATTTAAAAAAAATAAGAAGAAACCCTAAGCGTCTAAATTAGAACCATAGAATGTATTTGTATTTTTTTGAATTTCCAATTTATTTGTCTTTTGTTGTAATCTGCAGAATTTGTTTTTAGATATTATCTGTACTTCTAATTTTGATATTTTAATTTAAAAAAAATATGGCGTCCATTTTAATTTATAGAATACTGTAAATCCCCTAATAGGGAAAATATCATTGAAACATGTCAAATTAATGTTTTCAAACTTAGTTGTTATTTAATTCCTAGATTGTAAATGATTTTTTCTCTGAAGATGCATGTCATTGCAATTGTCTTCTTTTATTATTAAATACTTGTTAGGGAGAAGTGAAATTAAAGTTTGTATGATGGTTTGTAATGTATTAAACACTAGCAAAGATCTTATTCGCAGGTAGTGTTTTTCAATTTATTTTTTCTGCCACTCAGGCGGTGAGAAAACCCACCTGTGAGAATGAGGGGGAGAGTACTACAAAGAAACCTTCGATGGGTAGTGATAATGAGTAAATCGATTAGACAAGTGAAGGAGTTACCTGTAACTTACGACGTGTACTCTTCGTTGCGACAGGTTCTTTGAATGTTACTTGTTTAGAACTATGTATATACTAAACGGGTATTTAGAGTTACGCAAAGAGACGCTGAAATGTTATTGAACTTCTGAAACAGGCGAAATTATTGTTTTCTTGAAACAAAAGGATTTTATCACCAATAAATTTGAGGTAAGTTTTCCTATACGTATTTTTATCAAAATGCTTTAGTAGTAATGACAGACTCGGAATTTTGTTAACCGTGAGGTCAAAAAGTCAGAACCTCGTTCCGAAGTTGTAAATGCATAGCGAAGCGCCATCCTTGAAAGTAATTTGGCCCTGAAGGTAATCTGGTTTAAAAATATGGATAATGAACGTATGTTTTTTATTATTAAACTGCAGAAAATGCCCAGTTTTCATTTAATTAGTTTCGAATGAGTCAAAAACGTAATGTACTGTCAGTACGTATTTCATAAATCATAGTGCAAAATTAAAAATGAATAATCGATGTAAGGAACTGTAATTTTGTTGTAGTTTAGCTTGTATATCTTGGTACGATCAGTTTTACGAGATACTGGACCTACTCATATACACGGAGCCTTTTATTATATCCCAAATTTTAGGGATGAAAACACTATTTATAAGAATACTCATTGAAAATCCTTCATCGGAAAGTACGTATTAATTTAAAACTCCTTTATATCAACTGTAGAAGCGTTTTATTCCAAATGCATAGTACGTACTCTTAGATATTTTAAAAAATTAAAATATTTTAACAATCAAACGGGCAACAAATAATTTTGTGGCAATTTTTACTGAGAAACATTGTTATTGCATTTCTATAGAAAAATCATGCGCTTCTAGCACCGTAGTACCCACCGGCAGA